TAATTGAAATACCAAATTGTTTCTAGTTTCAATTAGTTTAAACTACTATTTTATAATTAAACACCTGTTTTTTTACAATCTTATCTTATCTTATCTTATCTTATCTTATCTTATCTTATCTTATCTTATCTTATCTTATTTTATTTTATTCTACAGTATTTTATATTATTTTATATTATTTTGTTTTATTTTAGTGTATTTTATTTTATTTGATATTATTTTATATTATTTTGTTTTATTTTAGTGTATTTTATGTTATTTTATTTTATTTTGTTTTAATTAATCCTATTGCAAGTTTCTTCATTAACAAATAATTTAAATACCAAATTGTATCAATTTTCAATCGGTTTAAACAACTATTCGTTAACTAACCATCGTTTTTTTTTTCTTTTTTACAATCTTATTTTATCTTTTTTTATATTATTTTATTTTATTTTAATTTCATATTTTGATGAAACCTATTACAAGTTTCATCTTTGACACAAATAATTAAAATATGAAACTATTGAAACCAATGTAATTCTTACACAACTTTGTTTTTTTTTTCTTTCCTTTTTCTCTTCTATTAATTTAAAGATTAAATATTTTTTTTTTATTAATTTTATCAAAGTTTCTAAGACTAATTCTGAGACTTGAGTTTTTATGTTCCAAAATATCAACACGTAAATTCATTTCGCATTAAATTAATTGAATCTACATTTTTCATACGCGAATCATTCATATTTTATAATAATCGAATATACTTATTATCATTATCATCATTATTATTATTATTATTTGCGTTCAATTATTTTCTTCTTACGACATTTTTTTTCTCTTCTACTTCATAATTTCTTTTTTTTATATATATATATCAAACAAATTGAATCCGGTCAACGGTTCGTTAAACATTCGTAGAAAATGAAATCGGGCCTCCCAGTTGAAAGCAAACTTACGAGACCACAGAGAATCGACGATCTATTCTATGGTGCAAAAATCAAAGGTGCTCCCTTGGCGAGTAGAACACGGCAGACAGTGAACACAGGAAAGGCAAATAACGCGAAGTTATTCGTACTCGTTGCCAATGGAAATACTCGGTGACCTAAAAAAAAAAAAGAAAAAAAAAATTAAAAAGGAAAAAAAGACGAAAAAAATCGAGCAAGGGAAAGTAAAAGATAGAAAGAGAGAAGAAATAAAAAAAAAAAAAAACAAACAAACAAAGATAGGAAAAAGATAGTAAGATAAATCTTTGATATCACTCATACGATTCGAGATATCGATGATAGATTAGCGTAGAAAATGTAGAAAAGGTAGAATAGAAAAAGAAGAAAAAAAAGAAAAGAAAAGAAAAGAAAGGTAGCAACCAACGAGGATTGGTGGATAGATTGTAGAATCAATCGTTTTGACAATGTCGGTTTCAAAAACCTCTAGGATCAATTCTTCCTAACCATTTTTTTTTTTTTTTAATTTTTTTTTTTCCAACCTCCATTGATCTTCAATGTCAATCTACATTTTAACATGAAGGAAAAATATAGAGATAAAGTTTTCTACTTCTACTTTATATTACTACCAGTAGTTTTAGAACAAAATCGAATTCAACGTGATGTTGAAAATCGTGGATTCAACTAAATTCATTTTAACCTTACAATCCTCACCACCGTTCGTGGTTGAAAACATTTTTGCATTGGCTTTGGTTATCCTATTGGCAGTACCATTGATCGTGAATCTTCAATTTTGTCTTGTACGTATATACAATTCTATATTTTTATTTTTATTTTGAAAGGTTACACATATTTTTTTTTTATGTAGTTGTAGTCATCTTTTACGTGTGTACTATTTGACAGGGTGGTTGAGATTGCTATTGGAAAATTGTGTTGAATAAAAATCATTGATGTGAGATTGAAATTTTATTTTTCATTTTATTTTCTATTTTTTTTTTTTTTTTTTTTTTTTTGTTTTATATTCCCAAAATTTTTTCTCTTAAATTATATTAAATTTATTGAAAAAATAAATTTATTATTTTGTTATTCAATATAAGTTTTTTTCATGTATTAATTGTTATTTTTTATTANCTTTTCATCGAGAAAACGCGTAACTCTGATTTTGTTCTTTCTATTTTCAAAAACTCTTTCCACATTTTGTTCCTTGACTCTTTCGTCAATATTACTGTGTCGTCGAAAGTTATGTGTATTCGGATTTTGAAAAAGAAAAATGAAAGAAAAAATTTTTTAATCATCGAGATCGACATTTTAAAAAAATGAAAAAAAGAAAAAGAAAGAAGAAAAAAATATATCAAAGAAAAAGGATCATCGGATATCGGAAATCGTTCATCCTGAAACAAAAAAAAAAAGAAGAAAAAGAAAAAAAATGAAACGTTTTTTTCAATTATTTTTCTTGTTTTTCAAATTTATATTATTAAAAAAAAAAAAAAAGAGAAGAAATTAATTTCTAAAAGAAAAATATGTATATAATACGATATCGAAAATCGATTAACATTGAACGTAAAAGTATATTATATGTATTGTATTTAATGTTATATAAAAATTATATAACATTTTCTTTTTTTTTTTTTTGCAATTATTTTATTTCTTCTTTTCAAATCTATCCTGGAAAAGAAAAGAAAAAAATAGAATTTCAAATAGAAATATAATTTGTACTGATCAATGATGATATTGTGAAAGAAACGTATTTAAAAATACATTGTTACTATCTTTATTGTAATTTTTTCATATGCAAAAAAAAAAAAAACTAAAAATAGAATAAAAAGAAAAATAGAAAAAAAATAGAAACAGTAATAGTTTTCATTCAACAACTATTTTTGAAAGATATCAAATTATAGAAATGTAATTTGTAATTTGTTGAATTACCAATGATCATGTAAAAGAAACGAATTTAATAATAAATTATCATTATCTTTATCGTAATATTTTTAACCACAAAAAATAAAATGAAAAAGAGAAAAATAATAGAAAAAATAGAAAAAGTAGTTTTCATCCAACTATTATAGAAATTATAAAAATATCATTTGTAATTTGTTGAATCAACTATGATATTGTAAAAGAAACGTATTGATTAATGTAATAATAAATTTTAACTATCCTTATTATAATTTTTTTTATACACAAAAAAAATAAAAAGAAAAAGAGAAAAATAATAGAAAAAATAGAAAAAGTAGTTTTTATCCAACTATTATAGAAATTATAAAAATATCATTTGTAATTTGTTGAATCAACTATGATATTGTAAAAGAAACGTATTTAATAATAAATTGTAGTTATATTTATTATACCATTTTTATATGCAGAAAAAAATAGAAACAAAAAGAGAAAAAAAAATAGACAAAATAGAAGAAATAATTTTCATTGAATTATTTTTGAAAGATATCGAATTATAGAAAATTTATTGAATTAATTATGACATTATAAAAGTAACATATTCAAAAATAAATTTCAATTATCTTCATCGTAATATCTTAACCCGGAAAAAAGAACAGGAAAAAAAAAAGTAGAAAAAATAGAACAAGTAGTTTTCATTGATAAACTATTTCTGAGATATCACATTAGATTTGAAAACTAGTTGCAGTTCGATTTTGGTTTAGAGAAACCGAAATTCCGTGTAAATTCAAAGCTTATCTACATCGTACATATCTTTGGTCGAATATGTAAAGCCAAGAATAGTAGTCGGAAACAACAAGAAACAAGAACGAACACCACACACCAATGTCATATACATAGAATATATGTATAATACATAAATGTAGTGGTAGTAGAAAATAGGAAAATTCTAGGAAGAAAAATGAAAATGGAATAAGAAAGATGTTTATATCGGGTCATGTCAATTTGTTACCGTAGTAGTTACATACTTGGACGATATCACGGTTGAAAGAATTCAGTAGCTGGTGGTTTGTACGTAACACAAAAATCGCTTGTCTACTTTTATAAGAAAAGAAGACGTCGAATAGTATGATCATGTAGATATAGTATGGTATATGTAATATTTTTCTTCTCTTTCTTCGAAAGAAAACAACACGAAGAAAACAACGGTGCATACGTGGAAGGTAGAATCTTTACGTAATATTTTATCGTATGAAAATCATACGATATAAATAAAAATTGTCTTGAATAATAATAACAACAAGAAAAATATAAAATTAAAAAAAAAAAAAGAAAAGAAAAGAAAAGAAAAGAAAAGAAAAAATCATTTTCCTATGTTATATATTTATTAAATATTATTCAATGTATTGAAAAATTGTATTCGTAAACGTATTCATAGGAAAAAATTTATAAATAATTCATTTGAACATTTATTGGAAATGAAAAATAATCAATTCATTTGATTTCTCAATAATAATTTATAGAATAAATTATTATGAAATCAAATTAAAATCTATTTCATTATTTTATATATAATAAAATATTATTCATTATTTTTATTTGTCATCGTTTTATTATTTCATACGTGGAACAATTGTGTTGTTTAATGTTATATAGAAATTATTATAATTTGATACGAGAGAAAAAAATAAGTAAATATTCAATATTTTTTATATTAATTTGTATTTTATTTTATTTAATTATTTGTTTAATTTAAATTAAATCATTTATCGCACATTATACAATATGTTTTTAAACAATATTATAAATTATATTTTTCTATTTTTTATTATTACTATATATATATATATGGTAGGAGAAGAAAAAGAAATTATTCAACAGTATCTTTTCATACTTGTGTTAAATCATTTGATACATACAACAACAAAATTACCAATTTTCTTTCTCTTTTTTTAATTTTATGTAAAAAAAAAAAAAAGAAAAAAAAATATTATTTCCTGACATAAGAAAGATTCGATTTTCTTTGATATATTTTATATCATTACGTAAAATAATGTTCTCAAATATGTCCACCTTTTTTCTCCTATTACCTGACACATATTTTTATTCCCCCCATTCACGTTCTTTTTCATCCTGTAAAAATAATATTTCCTAAGATCTTACGTTAGCACTTATTTCATCATTTAGCCAAGAGTATACCGTAGAAAAATGTTGATGTGTCCCGGAAGACCACCACAACCTATGCCAACTTCCACTTATGGGGTGAGTCCAGAATTTCATATCGAATTTTTGTTTTTTTTTTCTATCTCTCTCTCTCTCTCTCTCTCTCTCTCTCTCTCTTTTTCTATTTCTATCAAATATCTACTAATTTTAATAAATAATTATTTTAATAAATATGAAACATCGATATGTATATATAAGATTATATATTATATAATATATAATAATAATAGAAATAAAATTATACGTCCAATAATATTACGTATATTATATATATTATTATATAATATATATTATAAATTAAAATTATTAAAAATTATTATTAAATTATTTTTCAAAAAATTATTATAAATTAAATATATATATAATATATATTTTTATATATCATTACAAAGGTCATAATATATTACTTCATTGAACTCATATTAATACGAACTATAATATTGTAATGTCACAAAAATATAGGGTGACATTAAAACAACTAAAATCACCTTTTTAAAAAACATTAAATAAAAAAAATGTTTCAAACTTTTTTTTTTATTACAATGTATTATATAATCCATCAAAAACAGTTTAACTTTTGTCAGATTATCAGAATAACTTGAAAAATCGTGAATACAATTATTATGAGACACACCCTGTATAATGTTAAAATATAACGAAATATATATTTTCTAATGAGAAAAATAAATTTGATATTTAGTGGCAGATACCAAGTGGTTGTTATCTGAGATACACAAGGATCTTCTCAGGGGCGTATGCTGTTCAGCGTGCTTATCGGGAACATCGGCAGAACGGTTATCAAGACGCGAGGGCAGCTTATCATGAGATCCATCCCGTTCAGAGGAACCAACCACGACCTCCTCCACCTCTTTCACGGGTTTCCTCCACGATGGCCTATCCTATTGGAGATTGTAAGTATACTACTACTACTACTACTACTACTAATATTACTACTATTCGTTATTTCTATCCGAGAAACCCTGAGGCTTTTTGATAGAGAGATTTCAACAAAAGTGATGGTAAAGGGAAGAAGGGATAAGGGGAGAAGTAGGCAGGGTGAAGGTGATTGCTTCAAGGACGACGATTTTACCAACAATTATTTAACACTCAAACATTTGACCAAATTAATGTCACAATTATTTTTAGAATTGTTTCATTCATTTGTTTCTTTCAATCCTTTTTTTATTTCGTTGAATGCTGTTTAAGAAAAAAAAAAAAAAAAAGAAAGAAAGATTTTTCTCTCTTATTCGAGTATCCAAGTGACAATTTAAATTTTATTACACGCAACTTTAAGAGGATAAAA